TATTGTTGTTTGCATTATGAATTTTGGGAAGTCAGCCCTAATTTTCGGCAGGTGCAATCCATAAAATAAGCAATTCTTTAGAAAAATTATAATTGATTTCCATCATTTTCAATAACGTAAATTGTTGTAAGAAACTTAAATTAATATGCGTTGTGGAATCCTTTATATAAATCATTTTAATTTCGAAAGTTCAACAAACAATCTATTAATAAGGAGAGCAATTCATAATCTATAAATTCAATCTCTATGATATGTCTAACTATGTGCTATCCTTTGGTGAAAGCTATGATGTTCTTCTAATAGTTAAATTTTGAAATATATAGTTTTATCTATTTAATCAAAGCATTTGAATATCCTAATTTCTCCAAATTGCCAAATATTAGATAAGATGTAAAAAGTTATTAAAAATATCTTAAGATTAGATTGAATTTGATGAATTAAATAGTTTCTAATTAAATATATTAAATATAATTTATATTGAATAGGTTTTAGATGTTGCAGATAATGTTATTGCTAATTTTATTCTATTGTTTCCTGCTGAAGACTATCTTTTCCTTATTAATATTTCAATATAAAGAGGTTAGTTTTATTCATAATTATTAGGTTTCATTAAGTAAATAACATTTTGTTTTTGCAAAGATTTTAAGTATATAAACAAAATATTCATAGGATTGTGCTTTTTTTTTATTGAGTTAATTAAGTTTGAAATTGCTATTCACATGTTAGACAGTTTCCATGTTTCGGATATTTATCTAGAATTGAATTTAGACATCTATTGTGGAAAAAATGATTGTATTTACAAGTTTTCGATTTGAAAACAGTATCATTGTTATCTTTTAGACCCTGTTAACATAAACCGCAAACTTGACAAGCCTGTACTTCTTGTACTTATTCATAGTCATTTCCAAATTTCTTTTTTTTTCTTATGAAATACCTTATTGAGAGCACAATTATCAAAATAAAAAATATCCCTCCTATAATAACTAAAGGCAAGAGCCATTCTAATAATTCTGGATCATTTCTTCTATTCTTACTTTTTTACAATGATATCGATAGTTATGTATTAGGATAGTCACACCAAACAGCCACAATGAGCCTAGAAGGAGACTCATCGAGCAATGAAGAGATTCCATGATATCCCTCTTCTTCTGTGTATTCTTATTAATATTATTTTTTTTCATAGTCTAATAAGCCTTTTGATGTAATTGTTTAAGCGAGAGGCATTGAATTATTGAATTGTTCATAGAAGTCATAAAACCTCAAAGTGGGTAAATGGATAAATGAAGAGACAATTTCTAAGATACTTAGATTTTTTTGACTATCAGTCTAAAATTATTCTGAAAATTACGTAAAATGTTAAATCGAGTTCCTTTGACATGTTCTGCTATTGATAATAAAAAAAAGTTTCATAATTTGATAATGTTTGATTTCTCCAAGTCTAGATCTTTAACTCTGTTGGCAGCTAATGAACAATCTTTCCCAATGAAATTAGAACTACAATGACATTCCCCTTTTATACATTTTCCATTGTTACTGCAATTATTTAAACATATTTAAACATTAGTACCTGTTAATGTTAAATCGAAGAAGATTGAAATATTACTGAGAATAGTAATAAATTTAGGATTAGGTGAGTTTTGAATCTACAACTAATGATTATATTTTTTTAAGGCGTAACTAAATGACTTCAGAATTAATACCTGTCATAATCCATATCTTTAAATTTAATAGTTTAATTGATCTAGAAGGTTGGGGAGTGTTCATTGAATAATAGAGCAATTTTTGAATTTTCATTTGAAGTTTACTGAAACTCTACAATCAGAAATTAAAATTCTTGTCCTTCTATTAAAAGGGTGGTATTATATTTGAATGTCGAATTAAATTATGAAATGGTTTGATTATATTAGGTAATCTATGGGGTTGATTAAGAAACTGATAATTTGGCTGCTCTTGTTTAAAGAAAAAGGAGATTGAATACGACAATCAATGATTGTAAGTTCATGGCA